TATTATTTTACCATAGAAGTAAGATGATTAGAACAGCAATGTTTTCAGAAACTAAAGAGCAACCATTCAAATCTGGAGAAGAAGAAAAGAGAGGGAAAAAAGAGTAAAGAAGGAAAATTAGAAAAACATAATCAGATAATGAAAGCAAATCCAAATAAAGCTGATTGTTGTTTTTGTTGAAAATTGAGGTAACTATAATTAAAAAATTACAAAAATGAAATTAATACTTACGTTTGACCTTTTTCCTAGGCGATGAACCCATAAGCCTAGATTTAGTCCAAATGGTGTGAACAATGATTGAATAACAGGCGGAGATGATGACTGTTGGTATAAAGAAAAGAGATGTCGCCACCAAAGTCATGTAAATTTGCCATTCTTCTGGTTCAAGATGAATCCAACATTGAGGTTTATCTTCAATATTATGAATTTTGTACAGAAAAAGGGTTGGAATTGAAAAGATTCCCGATAATGTCCAAGCAAAGGCAATCAAAAATTTGGCTCGACGAGCTAAAAAGAGTAGCAAGTTCAATAAAACGAGAGTAAATAAAAAAATTGAAAGCTTAAAAATAGAGCAACAAATATGACAACAAACCAAACCTCTAATTGTAAAATTTAATGGATGTGTAATGGCATCATATCTGTCAATACTAAGTGCAACCAAAACATAAGTTGAACCATAAGTTACAACAACCTGGAAAAAATGGGTAAAACCAGAAAAATGATAAGCCATTGAAAGAGACCTAAAAATGACAATTACCTGAGCAAATTTGATTGCCTTACAAGCCGTATCTCCAGTGTAAAAACCAACAGTAAATCGCCAAACAATGTCCGTTAAAACATTGATTAAACCAACCAATAAATCTGTGAAACAAAACATTAAACCATTAACTATTGAATTGTGAAAAGCTATTAATGAAAAAGCTGAAAACAAACAGCAAAAAAATCTGTTAAAACTGTTCATCTCTCGAGATTTAGAGTATAAACAATTAGATAAATTGTTGCTGATGTAAATTTTTACATTGATTTACCATTCTTTGCCCAACATTATTCAAATCAGTATTCAATATTGATTTAGTTTGCAAATTTTGCTGCTTTTATCACAATTTGCTAAAGAAAAGGTTTAAATTGAAATGAAAATTTACCAATTTTTGTTTCTCCTCTAAATATTTCTATTCAAGTTAGACAAATAAATTATGAAACAATCTCTCATGTTACCATTTATTGATCTATTTGAAGATGTTAATGAGTTAACATGTAATGAATAGTTTCCAATGACTTACCTGCAATTGCTAAATGCATTATGAAAAAGTTCATTCGAGATTTTCGTCCTTTCGATAACAGTAAAGTTCCAAGGACTGAGCAATTTCCGAAAACAATCATTACAAAAATAATCCAAAGAAAAGTCAATTGTTCAGTCTGAATGTTGAGAGAAAAAAAGAAATTCAAGATTTAAGTTGATTTCATGGCATTTGAATCTGTTTATCATTTTGACCAAATTTCAAACCTTGACTTTTCATCAATTCAAATAAATATGCATTTTCGAAAGTTCAGCAAATTTGTTTTCCATCGCTTTTGAGTTCAATTTTTTCGAAAAATTTTCATGCTGTTGACTCAATTCCAGATGAAGTTTTAACCAATTTCAAGATTTCAATTTCTGCTTTCAATCGAATTTGATTGAAAAGAATTGAAAATCAAATTAAAGATCAAAATTGTCTTCGATCAGAGCTTTAA